GATGAGGAAGCCCCATTCAACCCAGTGAGTGATACCCCTGCAGGTTCCTCTCTGGAACTACAGCTCAATGAAACCTAATGGGGGAACATTTTAAATAAAGAACCACAGCCATCTTACAAACACAGGTAACTGCCATTTTGTGGCACCTACCAACAGCCACTGAGGGGAAGGTTAGTCCCACAAAGGAGGCAAGCAGGAAAAGCATCTTTGTCAAGAGAGAAAGCTGTTTGCCAGTAATTCTGACAGGGCACAGTGGCTGAAGAGGGAGTGGGCAGGGAAGAGGAGCAGACCGAACACCCAGCCAATGGCACGCGAGTACTCTTGAGTGGCGACTGATGGGCCAATGGCTGAGGGAGCACATGGAATGTTGCCACTCGAAAACAGAATTAGTATATATAGAGATAGTAGTTTGACTGCAACCATGCAATTAAGCCCTATTGTGAAAAAATAGATTTCAAAATTCTGAATCATCAGCAGATATATCTTCTAGGCAAACTGGGAAACCTGTGATGTGTCATCATAGGAATAGTGTGGAAATTCAGCCACCCAAATATCCCCAAGATTTTCTAAGCTCTCTGGGGCTCTAATCTCTCTGACCCCCCCCTTTTTTCTTTAACTAAGGTCTGATTTACACATGATGCTGGCAAGGCAAAATCACTTACATAATGAACTTTGCATTTACCTGTCATGTTATTTAAACTGGGCTGCAATCCACAGAAAGCTACACATGCCAGAGGTCCATAAGCCAGGCTGATGTTGCATTGGCATGCTAATTAAGCACATGTAGCTCATTTGCAGGGATACCATGCCCATTTAAATAAGATGCTATGTAAGTGCAAAGTTAAATTAAAGTAAATTGTTCTGATCCATCAATATTTAAATCAGGACTGATATTTAGCCATTCTCAACATTCTGCCCTTTATAGAGCACATTTAGTACTCATCATACCTGGGGAGACCCTCCATATACGTAGAGACTCTTACCTTCTCTGTTGGTGACCCTATTATGCAACTTAAAGTATCTGCCCTAAAAAAACCCCAACCCACCGCCATTTTATGCAATGATTGATCTTTGGAGTCTGAGATTTCACATTAGTGACTGAAAGAACTAAGAATCCTAAGGTTTCTGCATGCTTGCTGTTATAGGGATGCTGGTGGTATAAGTCACCATTTGCAACTATGTGCCATAAAATTTGCTTCAGGATCTGACAGCTTTTATTGGATTGGGGACTATATGAAGGATACTCTGAAAACCTTGTCCACAAATTGTGGCTGGGCTTGGTAGCCAGTTGTCATTTCCTGCTAGCCAGGGGTGAAATCCAGTTCCACCACGTTACCTCTAATGATAAAATAATGCCCAGGCTGCTCAGACTTTATAATAACTGTGTTAATAATAAGGAATCAATTCTTTAAATGTTTAGCCTTGCTCAAGTTATCCAATACCTCCGGTTTTCTGGTTCTTGGAATTTGTGATTAAAGTCCTATTGAGTTTTGCAGCTTCGATACCTCCCGCACCTTAGGCAGCTGTGATGTGCCTGCTCTTGTTTTCTTACAGTCTTCGGACCATTTCCTGCCTCATCCTGTATATGGATCAGTCCTTCGTAGCTGAGTAGCTGCCAACTTTTAAATCATTCCTTTGTCCCTTTACTGGCAATTTGTAGGTGATCATATTAGCTCCAGGCCAGGGAAATGTGTCAGTTTCTGCATGTCAAATAAAAGGACAGGAGCAGATTAGGTTGCTTTTTTCTGGCCAGTTGGCAACCCTATGGACTAAAGGTTCCAGCTGTGGCTATAGAGATGACATTTTCTTGCTTTCCTGTTTGTATACATTGTGTTCCAATGAACAATTCTTTTTTACAATTTTTCCACTTTGCTTATCCTCCTCATTCTTGTTGGTTCTGTAGCAATTGTGTGCAACTGGTGTCCCATTTCACAGATCCAGCTGAGAATAAAACAAAAAGAAACGTAGCTCCCATGCAGTTGGATGGAGGAAGAAAGCTGGAACCCCTGTGTTATGTATGCGGGCCGCCACGAGGGGCCCGCAGGAAAGAAAGGAGCTTGGCTCCACAGGACAATAGGGAACTCGGATCCTAGTTCCCCCCCCCCAGCTGACCAATAGGCTTATTGGCGGGGAATTCAAACCCTCCAATGGAGTGGGAGGTACTGGGCCGGGAGTGTATATAGTTGGCCTTGCAGGGCCGTTGTGTGTCTTCATGTTAGGTACAATAAACGTGTGCAACCGCATGTCGTCGTCTGAGTCTTCCATGCGGCGAACCCAGTACTTTTCACCCTGTATGACCATTTCACCATGTCAAGAAGTGTTTTGAGTCTCATTTGCAAGAGCATTTCTTTTCCAATTCATACCACCTTCAGCAACTTCCCAGTGATGCTGGTTTGTGATCTAGGCTCACTCCATGACCAATGAGACTCAATGAGGAGTTATGACATCAGGTATTTGCTGGCACACTGGGCTGCTTGAGATGTCTTGCAGGTTAGTCCAGAGATCACTTTCCATTCACCTAAGCAACACGTAACGTTATGCAGCTGCCATTTCCTTAAACATCCATACCAAATGGTACAACTAGAAGAAGACAAGCAAATAAAAATAACCACAAATAGAAAGAAGAACTTGCTGACTTTCATCCATCTCATCAAATAGCTTAATGTCTAGAATAAAGATTCCAGAAGATGAAGACCATCCTGATATTCCTGATGGAGTCCATTTTAAAAATTCCTTGAAGGAATTTCAAAAACTTGTTGAGAAAATAGTAGCTCAGAAGAGGGAGGAAAGACAAGGGTTGTACACTAAAGATGGTGGTAAGGAAAATTCTGCTTTCAGTGTTAAAGTGTGTAATATGGGGCAAGAATGGAGAACATGTTTTTTAAAAAGAAGCAAATCAACCCAGACAGCGATCTACATTCCCCTTCCTCCTTAATTATTCTAATTTTAAAAAATATCTTTCTTTTAGGGGACTGGGAAACCAGTTCCAGGATTAGGGACGTTGCTCAATGGCAGAGAACATACTTTGCATGCAAAAGATTGTGGGTTAATCCCTGCTATTTCTAATTAAGGGGTTTTAGGTAAACAGGAATTGGGAAAGAAGCTTCTGCTGCCAATCAGAATAGACTATACTGAGCTAGATAAGCCAATAGTCTTAATTTGTATAAGGCAGCTTCTTCATATGTTCAGGATTTGCTGCTATATTTTTTAAAAAATAAATACTGAGATTTTCATTCATAAAAATGAAAACAAAGTAGAAAACACTATTGAAATTGAGCAGAGAAGAGAGGGAGGAAAAATGAAGTGGAGGACTAATAATACATTTGACAAAGTTTCTCATGATATCCTTGAGGATAAGATGGTTAAGTGTGGGCTGGATGGTGCAACCGTTGGATGGATTCATGGTTGGTTGAAAAATCATACCCACAGAGTGCTTGTAAATGGCTCTGTGTATACGTGGAGGGAAGTCTCGACTGGAGTGCCACAGGGCTCTGTCCTAGGCCTGGTGTTGTTCAACGTTTTTATAAAGGACCTGGAGGAAGACATAGAGGGGATCCTTATAAAATTTGCAGATGACACGAAGCTGGGTGGGATTGCTAATTCTGAAGAAGACAGAGTCAGGATTCAAAAGGATCTAGATAGGGTGGAACAGTGGGCTGAGACAAATAAAATGAATTCCAATAGAGATAAGTGCAAAGTCTTACACTTAGGTACAAAAAATCAAAGGCACAGATATGGAATGGGAGAGACTTGGCTCAACAGCAGCACATGTGAAAGGGATATAGGTGTTCTGGTTGATCACAAGCTAAACATGAGCCTACAGTGTGAAGAAAGCTAATGCAATCTTAGGATGCATTAACAGAAGCATTGTGTCCAGATCATGGGAGGTGGTAGTTCCGCTCTATTCTGCTATGGTCAGGCCCCACCTGGAGTACTGTGTCCAGTTTTGGGCACCACATTTTAGGAAGGATGTTGACAAGCTCAAGCGTGTCCAGAAGAGGGCAACCAGGATGGTGAGAGGGTTGGAATCCAAGTCTTATGAGGAAAGGCTGAAAGAGTTGGGTATGTTTAGCCTGGGAAAGAGAAGGCTTAGAGGGGACATGATTGCAGTCTTCAAGTATCTGAAGGGCTGTCATGTAGAAGATGGAGCGGATCTATTCTCTCTTGCTCCGGATTACAAGATTAGATCTAATGGGTGGAAATTACAAGGGAGTCATTACCGGCTAAATATCAGGAGAAACTTCCTAACTGTAAGAGTGGTTGAGCAGTGGAACAGACCGCCTTGGGAGGTGGTGGATGCTCCTTTGCTGGACGTTTTCAAGTGGAGACTGGACGACCATCTTTTGGGTATGTTGTAGGGCTATCTTTTGGGTATGCTCCTGCAGAGTGCAGGGGGTTGGACTAGATGACCTGCAAGTTCCCTTCCAACTCTAACATTCTATGATTCTATGAACCAATAATTTATTAGATTTGTATTTACATTTTCTTTCATTGCAGAGGAAATGGATTATGATAAATTCTGTGCTGCAGTCCAGGAGCTGTTTGGTCCTGAAGTGAAGCCTCAGGATGTTAAAACCTTCTACAGGAAGATCAGTAACAACCCAGATGGGCGGACAGAATGGTGTGAGGTACATTTGTTTGCTTGTTAATAGTTGTGGTATGCCTCAGCCACACCAAAAACAAACTACCTGATCTGTTTTCAGACGTCTTATTAGGGGCCCACCTATGCAAACTCTGACACTGATGTGCTTACCACCACCAGAACGACCCTGATTTACCATCAAAGTGTTAACAGCATGAAGGTCTTGGACTGAGGGCTGTCTGGGTATGTGGGAATGTTACCTTTTCACACAGGGAACAGCTAAGGTTTGACCTTGCAAATGATTTGATCCTGCGTCCTCTGATTTGCCAACAATGGAACAGAAAGTGTCCAGGGAATATGGCTCTGTGTATCAGAACATTTGTGTTTATACTTGTAGATAATCTGCCGGTGTGATAGGATTGATGCTTAGTGAATTCTGGGATAATCTGAGGACATTTTGTCTCTTTTGGGGAGAGTGGATTGGCCTCTGTGCTGTGAGTATGGGAAGCACTGTCATCCAGAAGGTGTGGGCTGCTGAATAAATCACGATTCTTTTCTGCTATTCTTGGAAAGGCAGTTCTTAGGATACAGCAATCATTCAGCAAACTGCGCCATCAGCTTTGGATAGGAAGCCATGATGTTTTTCTTTTAGATTGACCTTGTGACCCAAAGTGAATACATATGTAACAAGCTGGTGCCCTAAGAATACAGAAATCCTTTCCTACAATGCTCTCTGGGGTATCTTGTGTTGTTTTAATTTTTAAAGGCTACTTAGAAATAAGCAGGAATTATAAATAACATTTACGGGCCTTTCAGCTATGGGTTGTTCTGACAAAACATAGATTTTTGCACTCTGGAGTCTTCAATTCAACCCTCACCCCACCCCACCCGGTTTGAAGTGATGCAACCAATATTTGTGCTTAAAGTATTATGCTTCAGTAGCAATAAATGTTCTGACTATCTACAGCAACACCTCATTTAGCTGCTCTTCATAGATTAGCTAGATAGGCATTCAGGTTCCACATAGCCCTCTTCAGATGAATGTGCTGCTGATAACAAAGCCTTTTTCACCAGCAATATCAGTAGACCAGAGCTAAGCACTTTATATATTACACTATTAACCTTTGGAACATTGGTCTTAAATCATTCTTTCCTTCTCTTCCTCTTCTTTTCTCTAGCTACTAACAGACTTTAAAAATAGAAAAGAGCAAGAGTCCAGTAGCACCTTAAAAACTAACAGAAAATAAAGGAGAAATGGGGAGGCTATATGTTCTATGTCTGTCTCCGTTTGATATAACCTTGGGCAGTTTAGCAGGAAAAAATAGTATAACTACTCTGGTCTTTCCAAACCCCTTCATTATTTGTATTATGTCTACAATATAGCACTCGATATATAAATCCTGTCTTCATTCACCCTCACAACAGCACCCTGAAATAAATTCTTTTTTGAGGTATGGTACTGAGGATCATTTTTGAAATTACATATTTCTTATGGAAGCTCTTCTCCATGCACACACACACATTGTATGTGTGTAGTTTCAGGTGGGTAGCTGTGTTAGTATGCAGTAGAAGAACAACGTTTGAGCCAAGTGGCACCTTAAAGAACAACAGAATTTTTCAGGGTATAAATTTTCCCGAGTCAAAGATCATTTCATTAGATACAAATAGAATGAATCAGCCCTTATATCCAGGTCAGAAGGTGTATGGGGTGTTGCAAAGAAGGGCCTGTTTATTTATTTATTATTTTTATTTTTATCCCGCCCTCCCCGTAGGCTCAGGAGTTGGAGTCAGGATGGAGAGGTACAGTGCAAACTAGGGTTGCCAACCCCCCCGGTTTGCCAGGGGTCCCCCATTGGGGGGGGGTTTCTACCCGCCCCCAACACCCACAGCCACCCATCTCTCTCCCTTTAAGTGTGTGGAACCCGTGTTTCCTCACAAGCCCGATCTTCGCAAGCTTGCAGGGAAATGCCAGCTTCGTGCTCTTAAAAGGGAAATGCGGCTGCTCTTAAAGGGGAAACACCGGCTCCTTTAAGTACAGGGAACTGCCGTTTCTGGAGATCTGGCGCACGAGCTGGTGGGGGGGCCGGATGTCCCCAATGTGATGTCATCACGTCAGGGATGCCCCGCCCCCTCCAGGAATGTCCCCAAAGTCCCCCGCTGGGGTGGAAGATGGACTTGGCAACCCTAGTGCAAACTGTAATCAACTTAATTAGAGCTGGGAGGTAGGAAATGCAGAAAATTAGCATCTGTAATGAGATAAAAGGCCGCGGTGGCTCAGAGGTTAAGATGCTGAGCTGTAGCTCGGCAGTTCGAGACGAGAGTGCTGTGTGATGGAGTGAGGTCCTGCCAGCCTAGCAGTTCGAAAGCAAGAAATTGCAAGTAGATAAATGGGTACAACTTTGGTGGGAAGGCAACAGCGTTCCATGCGCCTTGTTGTTTAGTCATGCTGGCCACATGACCACGGAAAAATCTTCAGACAGTGCTGGCTCTTCGGCTTGGAAACGGAGATAAGCACCACGCCCTAGAGTCGGATTCCACTGGCTTTCAAGCAAGGGAGACCTTTACCTTTACTAATGAGATAAGAATCCTATGTCCCTACTCAACCCTGGAGGTGGGGGTCCATTGTCCTAAACTTGTTCTAGTTCAGCAGTCTCTTTTTGAATCTTCTCTGCAGTCAAATACATACACAGTGGTGGAAGTTTCACTGTCAGGTATAAACCAGGAAATATTGAAGTCATTACAACAAATGGTCTTGTGCCACCTTAAAGACGAATACATTTATTGTGGCATGTGATTTGTATCCCAGAGCTCACTACATCAGATACATGAATCTAATAAATTGTGCCCTGGTTCACAAAAGCTCATGCCACAATAAATTCATGAGAATTTAAGGTTCTAGAAGATGTTTAGTCCAACACAGCTAACTCTCTGGAATCTCTCAATAATTATACTATTCAACCCAGGAAACTCATTCTGCTATTAACCATATGTGAAGCTCAATGGAAATGTATTATATTAACACGACATGTATTGAAGGTTTCAGTCAAGTGCAGATTCAAGTAAAGCATAGGGGTTCCTATAGGCCAGGGGTGGCCAAACTGTGGCTCATGAGCTGTATGCGGCTCTTGGAGCCCTCTTCTGCAGCTCCTGAGCCTTGCCCCCCTGCCCCCCCACTTTGAAAGCGGAGGATTTTTTCCCCAGGGGCCCAGCCTTTGTTGGAGTTGGGTGGGTGGGAAGGGGCTGCTTCCTGGAAACTAAGCCCTGCCCACAGCTCCCAACAGTCCACAGTCGGTGGGCACTCCAGAGCAGGGTGGCAGGGACTGTTTTCGGGGGGGGGCACAGGGCCTCCTCACCACAAGCGGGGGATGGTGTCTGCCAGGGAAGGAGGGAGTTTGGGAGGGCTCTGGCCAGGGCACGCCATTGCCTCCCTCCCCTCCATAGGCCTTTAAGCAGAGCATGGCAAGAGGCTCTTCATGGGTCTCTCGCCACCAGCACCATGGGGGGGGGGGCTGTAGGGGATTCTCTCTGCCAGGGAGGGAGGGAGGGAAGGAGGGAGGGAGGGCCCCAGCCAGGCCAGGCCTTTCTCTCTCCTCCCCCACCATGGGCTTTTAAATCTCTCTTTCTGTCTCTCTTTCTCTCCTCCTTTCTGTCATTTTGTCTTTCTTTCTGTTTCTCTCTGTCCCTTTCTCTCTCTCTGTCCCCGCCTCTCTCTCTGTCCCTCTCTCTCTCCCTCTCTCTCTGTATCTATCTTTCTCTTTCTCTGTCTCTCTTCTCTCTCTTTCTCTGTCCCTTCCTGTGACGTCACTTTCATGCCACTCCCCCAAACCCGCCTCTTCCTCCAAAGTCAACTTGTGGCTCTCGAGCATCTGACATTTAGTCTATGTGGCTCTTGTATGAAGAAAGTTTGGCCACCCCTGCGATAGGCCATCAAAGCAGCCCCAAATCACCTTCACGGATAAATACTGCACCCAGTTTTTCAGAGTTAAATGGACTGTGGATTTTTAAAAGGCAGTCAATGGAACTGGATGACTCTGCCCCAATTGCTATGCTAATAACTTCACATTAGCTGCAGCTTAAGCTCCTTAAAATTCTGGTATCTGACAAAGAAATGATTACTTGCCAAAGTCCCCCTGCTGAGGCCATGGATAAATCAGCCCTCGGATGTAAGACAAAGGTTGTCTTTATGCTGCCCAAGGGTATAAATCAAAGGGGAAAGATACACAGATTTAAAAGTAGACTGACTTTAAAATGACCCTTTTCCTCTCTGATGAACCAGCTTGTATTTGGCATGATGGCTTAGAATGCCAGGCAGGCTTCCATTTCAAAAGGTGCCCTAAATCCTGTATTGGACCTGATCTGTCAGCAGAATAATACAAGCAAAGTTTTTTCCCCCCTCCAGCATCTCTCCCAGTCTAGTTGTTTATCAACCTTGAATACATAGGGACATTTCCAAACTAATGTCAGATACCCTTGGAATAACCACCGCATCTTTTCTGGTTCTATCCAATCACTCAGCCATGCGTAGTTCAAGTATCCCCTCATATGCATGAGGAACGAAGGCCTGATCAGCATTCACTTCCATGACAGGCTTTCCACAAGCCTCATTTGTATCACATTAAATGTTTCAAATCAATTGGGGAAAAGAAGCTGTTTCTTCTTCCTACCAGGCCCACTTCTCTTTTTAAAAGGCCGGACCATGGAGATTCAAGTGGGGATCCAGTTTTCAGTTGGAATTTTCCTACCATGGAATAATTTCCTAACTTCTCAGTAGTTCACTGGGGGAAGATCACCAGGAGAGAAACAGAAGGGAGGGGGGAATCTCAGCCATAAGGAAGATGGAAATAAGGCAGAGCTCATTATTTGGCCAGCAACAGGGAAATTAAAACAGAAGAGGCAAGAAGAGAGCCCACATCATGCAGAGCAAAGCATGCTTCTAACAGCACACCCGATTGCACACACAGAAACACAACACAGCAGAGGGTGCTTGGAATGCCCTGTCAGGCCTTGGGTCAAAACCAGCCATATATACTTGAGCAGAGAAGCGCA